TGCACTGCCGTTATGGCTTTATGTCAACTTCAGTAAGATGAAGAAGGTTAGTTAACTTAAATATGTTAAATTAATGATTTGAAGCAACTCAATATCGATTGCTAAATGTGTATATACAAGAAAATCGACTTTATACCTAAATATAAGATTGTGGAATTCTTCCAAATGCACTGCCGTTATGGCTTTATGTCAACTTCAGTAAGATGAAGAAGGTTAATTAACTTAAATATGTGAAGTTAATGATTTGAAGCAACTCAATATCGATTGCTAAATGTGTATATACAAGAAAATCGACTTTATACCTAAATATAAGATTATGGAATTCTTCCAAATGCACTGCCGTTATGGCTTTATGTCAACTTCAGTAAGATGAAGAAGGTTAAGTTAACTTAAATATGTTAAATTAATGATTTGACGCAACTCAATATCGATTGCTAAATGTGTATATACATGAAAATCGTCTTTATACCTAAATATAAGGGTTGTATGGAATTCTTACAAATGCACTGCCGTTATGGCTTTATGTCAACTCCGGCAAGATGAAGAAGTTTAAATAACTTGAATATGTTAAATTAATGATTTGAAGCAATTCAACATTGATGGTTAAATGTGTATATACGAGAAAATCGACTTTATACCTAAAATATAAGATTATGGAATTTTTCCAAATGCACTGCCGTTATGGCTTTAACGAAAACACAGTTTTCGCTGAAAACTACTTGAAAACTTACATTCCACTCATTATAATCGGTGCCTGCTCTAGTTTAATCGATTTTTTTGGAAGACATATTTTGCCTGGAAATGGAAAATAAAATTGAATTTTGTTTGGTGTGTACAACTTTATCTTTGATTTAATGTATATGCAATTGTGTAAAATGTAGATATTGTGATACAATATGCACATGTACTTACCAAAATATGTACAAAGTGCTGTCCGAATCATTTCTCCATTAATTGGGTCGTCAGATGCATATGAAATATCACACGGATTCTGGCGTCTAGTCTCCAACTCTTCCAAAGCGCGTAACCATTTAGCGTTTAGCGTGTCGTTGTTATCATTTAAAAAATTGTGAAGGACGCAACATGCTTTTATTATGGAGTTGGCATTCCGTACAGAGTTGTCAATTCCTTTTCCGATGCGTCGAAAGCGGGCCTTGAAGTGTCCAAAAGCATTTTCGACAACTCTACTTGTTTTCGAAAGAGCGTAGTTGAATACCTTCTCACCATTATTTTGATTTACGCTAAATGGATACGGTTTCATTAGTTGTTTGCTAAATCGAAAAGCCGAATCCCCAATAATGAATACTGGCACATTTACGCCTGAAATTTCTCTAGACATTTCGCTTAGCAAAGGACAACTATCTATTTCTTTCTTAACTGATGACGTCTCATAAATTTGAGAGTCATTACATCGCCCGGGACTTCCTACGTTTATGTAAGTAAAACGGTATCTGAAAATATATTGTAAACATTACTTATGTACTTATGTATATGTACATATATTGAGTTTTTAGACTTTACTTAGCATCAACTAATGCCATTAAAACGGTGGAATACCATCCTTTATAATTATAATAATCCACACCTTCGTCAGATGATGGATGAATCTCAATGTGGCATCCGTCTGTAAACAATTATTAGAACATTAGCGCAAATTTAAGATTTTATAACCAATATTTACCAATTGCTCCTAAGCATTGTGGGAATCCAATTACCTCGAAACCAGTCACCAATTCGGTTATATTTTCTCTGTTTAGAGGCAACATTTTAAAACAGGATGGCTGCAGTAATCTCCAGATTTCGGTGCAAAATTCCAGTAAAATTTCGCAAACCGTAGATTTTCCTACACCGAACATGTTGGCGATACTACGATACTCTGCAGATGACCCTAAAGCAAATAATGTTATAGCCACTCTTTTCTCGATAGGAATAGCTTTTCGGTAATTTGTATCCATTTTTTGTAACGGGCGGAGGATGTCACATAATTTGTTAAAGGAACCTCGGTCCATGCGAAAGTTCTCTTTAAAAAAAGCAGATCCGTTTCGTTGGCAATCGTGTTCCCAAAACTGATTCTTACGTTGCTGGAATTAATAATATATAATTGAAAACTTTTGCATCAATAGGAACATATACACACTTTTGTCCAACATGAATTAATCGGCATCCCAAGGTCCTTTATTAAATCTAATACGATTAGATATTGTTTCTTTAACTCGGCTATCTCTTTTGTCAAGGCATGGTGCTGAGAAGTAAGACATTCCAATAGTTCTCTTGAAGAATTGTCGATGAGCAGGATATTATTTGGCTTCTCAAAGCCAATGCTTTCGCAATTAACATCTTTTTCTCAGAATTCTAAAAAACACGATCTTTAGTAATAATTATAAGCAAATATTAAAGATTTCAAAACTTACCATTCTCGTTGCTCAAATGTAAACAAACAAATAAATTTGTGAACTGTCAGTGAAAACTCAGCGAAAACACAAATTGTCGGTCCGAACGACTTACGTTCCACAACATACAAATGTGTTTTCAAAATGTTTTCAATGTCGGTCCGA